GGGGGGGGGGGGTAGATGAGGACGTTGAGTTTTATGGGGAGGGACTTTGGTATTCGATATAAAACCGGTTTCGAGCCAATTACGAGTCTCCCTGAGAATTTATGGCCGTTAAAGGTAAATAGGGGTCGCGCTAAGAATTGACATTTTTAGTATGACTTCTGGGAATGCCGGTGTATATGTATGTATGTGTATCCGTTGGTGCAGTTGGATTAGTCGAATATTTTTTTTCTCGCTACGGAAATTCACGGCCCGGACGATAGCACACGATCATTGTGGGTTTTGCGGTTTGTCTAAAATCCACTTGGATGCTTTTAAATGTCGAAATTCGTATTTCGGTGAAAAACCGTGGGAATTTCATTAGCTTAACGCCGCTGCTGCAAAGGTCGTGTTTTCATTGCATTAACGTTGCGCGAATGAGGGAATGAGGGATGCAACCGTAAACCAAATATATATATATATATATATATATATATATATATATAGAAACGCAGTAGAAATGCATAGATCCTGCAGGCGTCCGTGCGAGAAGCGCCATAGATTCTACTGAAATCCTTCTCTACTGGTGGCTAGTAGCTGGCAGCTAGTAGGTTAGGTGGCTATATGCACAGACGAAATACCTGACCGAAACTCTCGTGAATTTTCGTCCTGGAATAAATCTTGTATTGTCTCATATCCTTATCTGTCTTTTCCCATTGAGTTACGACTATGGGAACGTAGGTTTGCGTTCCGCCCCAACACTTTTCACCCTTATTTATGAACGTGCCACAAGAGTAAACAGACAGACCCCTCTTGTTTCAAGGATCCAGTAGACAACACCGTAAGACGCCTGTCAATATTTTTTCAATTTCTTATTTTTTTTTGTATTAACCTTGATTTTTAAAATTGATCAATGAGCAAGTTTTTACTCGACGCTGTTATGATTATCACTGGAAGCGACAGGCGGTGATTTCTATTGCTGTTATACGTCAGTGGACCAGAGTGGATTCTGTCACGTCGTCTGACTAACATAAGATTTCTCTACTTTCAATATTTTCATGGAGTCCTTAATATTCGCTATTAAGTTTCTACCGCGTGCAAATAATTGCCTCATGATATTATAGGGCTTTTCATAACGGGTGTCTCAAAGTAGGTACTCTGTGACATTGCCAGGTATATCTGACTGCTTCAAAGTTCCAGCATTCAGCCAGAGAGAAAGAGAGAGTTACGAGTAATTTTATAAGGCTTGGTTTAAGTAGTGGTAATTGGTGAGTCATTAGCGAATCGCTAATTAAGGTATCGTAATACAGCGATAAGGAGTAATCTGAGTTTGATTTTACTGTATTTTCATGGGACTGATAATTTTTTTTATAAAAATGGAAAAATTAAAATTTGTTTAATTTTTTTTTCGTTTCAGCTTCAAGATATGAGTTGACGTTCATTTTGTAAATCAAAACCTGCGAAGTGACATATCGCACGAGGAAAATTTTTAAATAGTCAATTGAAAAATTAAATTAATTCTTTTAATCTTTCTCGTAACGTAAAGGGCCATATCATTCTGTTACGTGTACTAGCATCAGTGTCATATGAAACGAGCTTTAGATCCTTGAACTGTTAAATACGCTAACTATATTTCCATGACATCGATTCGGTAAGGACTGTGATAAAGTGCCATAATTACGTGCTCCCATTTGGATTCTCATCAAGTGCACACTGCCCAATAACTTATCGATGACAAATGATTATTACCAATCGGCTAATCGATTAATGTGATAATTGACATATCTATATTAAATACATGACCTTTTGATAAGGGGGAAAAAAAAAGAAGAAAAATTCACCAAATTTTCTTTAAAATGTTACACAGTAATATCCCGAATTTTTCGAATTTTATGAACAATCAATAAAAACGAGAGGATATCGAATCCACGAAAATAATATCAATCACCTCGATCGGATTTAATCAGTGATCGATCCGGTGATAAAATTGCATAATCAAAGTCGAAGCACAAGAACGCGCGTGTCTTTTCAATGGTATTAAAACTTGAAGAATTTTCGAACGGAAAATAATAGAACGGAAATATAATTTTAAAAAATTTATCAATAAAATATAAAAAGAAGTCTCAGCAAGGCTTGGCCTGTACAAAGGGATGAAGATGTTACGGAGATAACGTAAAGTTATCTTTAATCGTAAGAGATCAACAGAACAAGATTGTTCTGTCTTTCAAAGTGACCAGGTCCAAGACTAAACTGCCATGGGGATTCCCAGAAGAAGATCGTTGTGGTTAAAATTGGCCGTATTAGCGGGCGCAGCGTGGCTGACAGTGTGCGTCCTGCTTTACACCGAAGACAGAACAGTAGCAGTCCAGAGTCTGGGACCATCGGGCGTCGCGGCGCCACAAGTGGCAAACGGTTTCGTACTACAGGCACTGGCACTCCGAAGAGAGACCCCCGGAAACGGACAGAGCAAGTCCAAACTGAACCAAGCTGGTCCCGAGCAAGGTACGAGTATACATCATAATATATAATTATTCGGCCAATTACAAAAAAGAAAGAAAAAAAAAAAATTAAATATTACAGTTCCCCCCCCTCCCTTATCCTTCTGATCAACTTACTAAAATTCCACTCATAAAATATATTAACATTTTTTTTTCCCCCTAAAACCAGCTCAATTCCTTTGACGAATGATCCTAATAACTGTAATCCACTTCCTGAATTGTAAATACATTATTTGATTATCCCCCACAGAGTCATCACCTGTTTACCCCAGGGGTAGTTTAACCCCACTGTATAACCTACCATTATTCCACCTGTCCATTCCCATTGCTATGCTTCAGAATGTGTGCATCATAAGTACGCACGTGTGCGATAAAATCCGTTGACCAACAACAAGCTCAGCTTCTGCAGTAAAGCTCAAGAAATGGGGGCAGGAGCGAAATGTTGCAAGCTCAAGCTATCGCATAGTCTATGCAAACGTGGCGGACATGCCACTGTGTACAGTAAAAGTATAATAAAAATATGAGACTGTTTCTCTTTTTGTTATCCAGGTGGCGGCGTACTCGCAGCACCACGTGATCAGGACACCTTAGCTCCTGGTGAAAACGGACGACCAGTTGTTCTGCCTACGAATCTTACGGCCGAGACAAAGAAGCTCGTCGACGACGGTTGGCTCAATAATGCATTCAATCAGTATGCGAGCGATTTGATATCCGTACATAGGACACTGCCAGATCCTCGAGATCAATGGTAAGTAGTAATGACGTATTGTGGACCAGTAAATCCATAGGAGGACCGTGGAGGTCTGCAACTTTACTATGAATAATGTCATTTTATTGTTTAATGCACTTCGATGCTTTGATTCTCATGTAGCATAATACGTATAACGTAAGTGCGTATGGACGTTTCGTTTATGTCGCATTCAGGATTATGGATTCGGTCGTATAATCCAGAGAAGTCATAAAGGTGGACGGCCATGTTCTTTTATTGCTAACGGGCAAGAAATCACGTCGCTTCGTCTTTAATAAAATGTATTGAGCCGCAGCATGGACGACAGTCATGAATTTCTTGCCCTCTGTTCTCCAATGCATTTCTCTTCATCTTATGTCATTGTTTCCAGTTGCTGTTTACTTTTTTTCCCTTCGCCAGGATTCTTGTTCCTGATTTTCGTCCCTTGCTCTTCGCACCCCTGCTACAGAGGATTCTTGTAAGATGAGATTGGTGTCGATACATACGTAGCTTTTCTTACCCTACCTGTCACGCGTGTTACGACAGAATTCTCATGCGAGCTTTAAATCGTTTCCTAGACTTATCCCTGTTTCTCGAGTGTTTCACCTGGAAGAGAATTTATATCGAAATACCTTATCAACCCTCTTTACTTAGCAAGGAGTCACTGGGAAACGGTGCAATTTTTCACGCTATATTAAACAATACTTTTCTGGATAGATACGTTACGATTTGCTGATTAGAATTTTTGTTCTCTTACAACCATACAAGATTCCACTTTCGGTATTGTTTTTTTCCTACTTGGAAGATTTTGCTTGAGCTCAAGCCAAGGTATCCATTGCTATAGATATCAGTAAATATTCGCAGCCCTCTTGGCATCCCTGGTGGCGGCGAAAATAAACCTTAATGAAATTGTCGGTATAATCTTCCAGGAGCCTATTTGGTATGAGGAAGCCCTGTAGTATTCCAGAGTTTATACACGTGGGATACAAGGCTGGCTGGCTGGCTGGCTGGCTGGTTCGCTCTTGTGGCAACGAAATATGTTTTGCAGAGAGTCCCGTAAATTCGCGTAAAACTTTCCCCGTGGAGCGTGGCCCGCAATAGTGAGGTCGCAGGAGTGGGAGGACTCGAACCGCAGGGCCAAATTAGCCCCATGAATATTAATTACAATTTACATGATATTAGCCGACATTATCAGGACAGGTGGACAAAGTTAGAGAGCATCATATATATATATATACATATCATGTGGATCTGTTCATTCGCATCCTCCATATAATTATTCTCAGTGTGTTGTCGACTGGCAGGTCAACGACCGACCATCTCCACTTGACCAGTCAATTCTGAATAACTTCAACAAACACAATGTTTCTCAGTGCCATAAGTAGGCAAATATAAGGGTAGATTCTTTGAAAAAATTATACCTGTATTCATTGATTGTCCATAATCATATATATACGTATATACCATGTCTGAACATATAACTATAATTGTCACTTAACCCCTATTCTTGATAAATTTACCTATAACACTTGCAATTGCTACATACTAATTTGCCTATCGTCCTTTGAGAATATCTACCTCTTATGATACTCTTCGTGTATTATTGTACATTTTTATTTGAAAAATTGCGTCATGAGGAGGAGAGGTGGTGGCAAACTTGAAAATTTGGATACCAACCAACAGCAGATTAAAATAAGAAACATATTGGACACAACTTTTCTGTTGGCGCTATCAGCAACGTCAGTCAGTTACGAGTCAGCGCAATTTAACCCTAGGGGGTTGCAACCCCTTTTTCCTGTAGAATTTAAATATGCAAATGAACAGGACGCTTAGCTTAATAAGGTACGTTCACGTGTGAGCTATAGGCTTGTGCTTTCACCCCCCCCCCCAATCTCCCCATCAGTTTATGCTCAATTACAATGTTATCGTGTCTCACTTGTTTAGTTTACACAATGGAATGTTTGCTCTGGAATAGCATAAGCTCTAAACGTTATATTACCGATGGAGTTCAACTGGGTGAACTAAATAAATACATTATTACATTTGAATCCAAGCAAACGTAATATTGAAGTTTATCACGTGCGATGTAACAATATACTTATTATATATAGTAATTCCTTTCAATTCAATTTTTTTTTAATTTTTAGACATTATCGTCATAAATGTTGCATGACTGGTCTGATAATTATTTTCTTGGTTTTTGAAGATCTCACGCGTCTATGGGTCCTATATCGTACACAGTAGATTACGTTTCGTTCCGACAGACACTTTGCCAAGAACTTATGAGTCCGGATGCCTATATTTTCCAATTACTGGTTAGCAAGGATTTATTTAACCACGCGCGAATGAATTGGGTTAGGTAGGTGGTAGGTAACGGTACACACCGGTAGGTATGGGAGGCTGAGATAGATGAGGCAGACGAAACGTAGAGGAGCCCAGACTGCTGGTAGCTGCCAGGAATTTATAAATTGAACCATCCAAGTAGGTACAGGCATTCACGAATTTTCTGCTCAAGTATCTTCATACAGGCATATACGTAAGTAATTTTTCACGCGATATAATTGGGCTTTGCGATGGGAAAATTAAAAAAAAAAAAATTTCTTTCGTAAGATTCTCGTAGGGGTCGGGCAAGTTGATTTTGAGTTTTTTTGTTCTATTTTCCAAAATGGATCCTTTGACGGTTCTTCTTCGTTGATGCTACTTGGCAGTAGCACTTTTTCTCTCTTTTACTGGTTGTCTGAACGTGACGTGTTGCTTCACCTTATTTACTGTGCTTTTACCGGTATTCATGTGAACAGTTTACTTAAGAGTCTATTCTTGGAGAATAAACTGCCAAGACATCCGGTCAAATTAGGGCGGAACGTCCTGCGAGGATTCTGGAACAAACACTCTGCCTTCTTAAGGTTTCTTGTTTGGGATCGCTCGAGGATTAGGCGGGTAGTTGATAACGAGGATGTTGATAAGAAAATTTAAAGCGCTTTTTACTCTGTACAAATAAAGGGAATAAAATTCATACATTCATTGTATATTCCTTAGAGATATATTTTTCTCGACATTTTCCGGTACCACGTGATACGCTCGTTCAATTATACGGTCGTGGTACTCGTATCCGTATTTCATTTATATCCGGTTTACATTCAAGTTATACGACGCTTATACGCTAATTCAAATTTCACGAGACTCCTCGACGTCAACGTGGATAGCTTAATTGACCATTCGCATAACGGCTGACAAGAAATTGTAGAGCATCACTCGACAAGAAGTCATCTTTTAGAGGATCTGGGGTTAATACGTATATATAATCATAGTAAGGTACAGGCACTATAGATATTCGAGATAAATGGTTCGTCCAGGATGTTTTTGCTAGGCAGTACTATAGTGACCCAGGGGTAGTTTATTCGGCCGATTATTAAGGACTTACTATCTATCCGAGTATTTGAAGCAAGCCAGTACGTAGTAGTGGACCTTCGCGTAAAGTGCCGTCTGGCACTTTCCGCACTGCAACCCCTAGCAGTTGCACTTACCACGTTAACAGGTGTATGCTCCTCGGTACCGAAGTTTACCTTAAGCCATTGCCCGTGGCAATTTTCAAAGTAATTTCGAATATGGAAATTTTGGAAATGACCAAGCAAATTTTTTTAAAATATACTATACCACCCCCCTAGAATTTGAGAATCATAAAATTTGAATGAAAAAAAAATTTACAACCCTTAAGGAATTTATTAAGTTTGACCTTAAAATATTCACCCACCCGTTTTTTTTCTTCTAATTTATTTTACTTCGTAATGGCTGCGCGTCAATCGCATCCAATCGTGGAAGTGGTAGGTCTTAACACTCAGCCCCTATACTCTCGAGATAAATCAAAGTGAACTTGACTCTAAGTAGAGAGAATGGTGGATGGTCTTAAACAATTCTCAAGGGGCTAATGTGCCATCTGGCTTCAATCGTGTCTCGTGTTCCTTCCAATATGGCGACCGGTTGTCCTCGTAACGAAGCTGCCTTAATACCCATTACGTCGCAAGTAAAGAGCGTCGTAGACCAGCCAAGTGAAACTCCATCTTCTTACTAGAAAGCGACTCCATTTGCTATGGCGGATCCTTCCTGAGTGGGAATTACAAAAATTCTTCCCAGTGCAAACTTCCCGGTCTCCGTATGTTTCCACGCACTTAATCGTTTCTCTGCTGGTCGTTTGCGCGTTTGTAAATACGAGCTCTGTGTGTTTAGAAAATGTAGAAAGCGATAATATTTTTTTTTTATACCAATTTAAATCTTCACTGCCACTCGTTCACGAGAGAATACCTCTTACTTTGCGTCCGTAACAAAATGCTGCCGTAATTCCATATAAACTGCAACGGGGACATTCGTCTCTGGGGATTGACTGGGACGTAAAGTGGCGCGCAATTTGAATTCGATAAAGCTCTCTTTCAGTGGCTCATAGATGGATCCCCCTTTACAAAGTCTTTGAAACACAAGGCAATATTATTATATCTATACATCATTCTTCGAAGGCATTCCCGAAGGAGTCTCAAACCTGTTGCAAAATTGCGTCTGTAATTTCGTACAGCATCCCCCTGTAGGTTTCCTGCATCCAACCAGAATTCATCGCTCGTTGCGTTGAAGATTGAAATACCTAATTAGCAGCGTCGCGTGAGAGTAACGTTCAGGTTCAAAGTGAGAATGTTTAATTAAGACGCAAGGACGATAGAGCCTCTTAACGAGACAATAGAAACCCCTGAAAAAACATCCTTAAAAAACCATAAGTATCAGTCTGCACAGACATTTTAATAAGAGCCAAAAAAAAAAATCTTTGAGAAAATCCCATACATTTTTTTACCCATAAAAATTTCCACCCCTTCCTCCTCCACCGCAGCAAATACCACCGGTCCGCGAGGGTCGGCCGCTAATTTCCGGCTGTTTATATATTAGCTTTCTTCAACCCCCTGGTTTCCTCCCCTTAACTGTTAGGTGCCATAAATATTCCATGGGCCCTATTAAACCGTCATAATGGCTAATGCCAACGT